TGTGATCGTGCCACTGACCCCCAGTCTGGGCGACAGAGTAAGACTCCAACTCAAAATAATTTTTAAAAAAAATCCATTCTGTCAGTTCTTGCCTTTTGCTTGGAGTGTTCAACTCATTTACCTTTAATTATTTGTTTATAAGCCTATTTTCAGAGACAAAGTTTCATTCTGTCACCCAGGCTGGAATGCACTGGCCCAATCATAGCTCACTGTAACACTGAACTGCTGAGCTTAAGCAATCCTCTCATCTGAACCTCCGGAGTAGCAGGAACTACAGGCATGTACCATCATGGCTGGCTAATTAAAAAAAATTTTTTTGGCTGGACTTAGTGGCTCGGCCTGTAATCCCAGCACTTTGGGAGACCAAGGTGAATGGACTGCCTGAGTCTGCAGGTTAGAGACCAGCCTGGGCAACTTGGCGAGACCTCGTCTCTACAAAAAAATAAAAAATTAGCCAGGCGTGGTAGCACACGCCTGTAGTTCCGGCAACTTGGCAGAGGCACAAGGATCGCCTGAGCCCAGCAGGTCGAGTTTGCAGTGGTCAGGACCGTGCCACTGCACTCCAGCCTGGGCGACGGAGTGAGACTCCAACTCAAAAAAAAATTTTTTTTAATGAGATAGGGTCTTGGCTATATTTCCCAAACTGGTCTCAAACTCCTGGCCTTAAACAATGCTCCTTTCTCAGTTTCCCAAAACTCTAGGATTACAGATGTGAACCATGGCATCTGCCTCAATTTATTTATATTTAATGTAATTATTTATAAGATAACATTTATGCTTGTTATTTATTTTCTATATGTTATACCTTTTTTTGTTTCCTTATTTTTCCATTACTTCCTTTGTTTATGTTAGATATTTTCTAGCATACCATTTGAATTCCCTTGCTATTTATTTTACTCTATTTGTTGTTTGTTTGTGTTTTTTGAGATAGGGTCTTACTCTGTTGCCCAGGCTGGAGTGCAGGGGTAGAGTCATGCACTCAACCTCTTCAGCTCAAGTGATCCTTCCACCTCAGCCTGGACTACAATACCTAGGACTACAGCCATGTGCCACCATGCCCAGTTGATTTTTTAATTATTTTGTAAAGATGAGGTCTTACTATGCTGCCCAGCTTGTCTCAAACTCCTGGTTTCAAATGAGCCTCCCACCTTGGCCTCCCAAAGTGCTTGGATTACTGGCATGAGCAACTATGCCCAGCCTAGTTTACTATATTGTAAAAATTATTTGTTTAGTTGCTTCTTTGTACATCTTATACCAATCTAGTTCATATTAATATCAAATTAATTTCTATAGTGTAGAATAACTTTGCTCCCATATAGCTCCATTCCCTTCTACACCTTTGTGCTTTTAATTTTTTTGTATATCATATGTCCATCAATACAGATTTATAATTATTGCTTCAGGCAGCTGTCTCTTAAACCAGGTAAAAGAATAAGAGTTGTAGTGACCATGAGCATGCCACTGCCTTCCAGCCTGGGCAACAGAGTGAGACTCCGATTCAAAAAAAAAAAAAAAAAGAATAAGAGTTACAAACAAAAAATACATTTACACTGTATTTTATATTTATCTATAAGTTAGCTGGATTGGTGCCATTTATTTCTGCATTTGAATTCTAGTTATTGCCTAGCATCCTTAGATCTTAGTCAGGACTCTAGTATTTCTTGGAGAGCAGGTCTGCTGGCTATTGATTCTTTCAGTGTTTGTTTATCTGGGAATGTTTTAACTGCTCCTTCATTTTTGAAATATAGTTTTGCTAAATAGAATATTCTTGGCTGACAATCTTTTTCTTTCAGTGCTTTAAATATGGGTCATCCAGTCGGGCGCAGTGGCTCACACCTGTAATCTCCGCACTTTGGGAGGCTGTGGCAAGAGGATTCAAGATCAGCCTGGGCAGCATAGCAAGACCTCATCTCTCCCCCAAAAAACTTTAAAATAGCTGGGCATGGTGTCTTGTGCCTATAGTCCCAGCTACTCGGGAGGCTGACACAGAAGGATTACCTGAGTCCCGGAGGTTGAGGCCATGGTGAGCTGTGATCATGTCACTGCCCTCCTGTCTGGGTGACAGAGTGAGACCCCAACTCAATAAATAAATACATAAACAAATAAATAAAAGTCATCCCACTGCCTTCTGGCCTTCATGGTTTTTTTATGAGAGTCACTTTTTAATCTTACTACAGATCCTTTCTCTTGTTTTTGAGTCAGAGTCTCACTCTGTTGTCCGGGCTGGAGCACAGTGGCACACTCACAGCCACTGCCGCCTCGACCTGCTGGGCTCAGGCAATCCTTCTACCTCAGCCTTCTAAATAGCTGGAACTACGGGTGCATGCCACCAGGCCTGGCTAATTTTTTTGTTTATTGTAGAGACAAGGTCTTGCCAAGTTGTCCCGACTGATCTTGATCCCCTGGGCACGGGCAATCCTCTTGCCTCGGCCTCCCAAAGTGCTGGGATGACAGGCATGCACCACCACGCCTGAGTTTGCAGATCCTTTCTATGTGATGAGTTTCTTCTCTCTTTCTAGCTGTTGACAGTTTGACTATGATGTGTCATGTTGTTGATCTCTCTGAGTTTATCCTACCTGGAGTATATTGAGTTTCATGGATGTGTAACACTTTTCATCAAATTTGGGATACTTGTGGCCATTATATCTTCACATATACCTTCTGTCCTTTTTTTTTTTTTTTTGAGTCAGAGTCTCACTCTGTCACCCAGGTTGGAGTGCAGTGGCACGCTCATGGCCATCGCAGCCTCGACCTACTGGGCTCAGGCGATCCTTTTGCCTCAGCCTTCCGAGTAGCTGGGACTACAGGCATATGCCACCAAGCCTGGTTGATTTTTGGATTTATTGTAGAGATGAGGTCTCACCAAGTTACCCAGGCTGGTCTCGAACCCGTGGGCTCAGGCAATCCTCTCACCTCGGCCTCCCAAAGGGCTGGGAGACTGAGCCACTGCACCTGGTCTCCTTCTGTCCTTATACCTGTCTTCTCACCTGTGGGATTCCCATTATGGCTGTAGATGCTCTTGATGATGTTCCAGTAGTCTCCAAGACTGTTATTTTACTTCACTCTTTTTTCTTTTGGTTCCTCGGACTTGATCATCCCATTTCATCTGTGTTCAAGTTTGCAGGTTCCTTCTTCTACCTGATCAAATCCGCTATTGAGTCCTTCTAGTGAATCAGCTAAAATATATGCCACAAGTCCAAGCTCACCCAGTGCGTGTATTAGCTAACTCCATATATCTTCACTAAGCACCCACGTTTTCCTCCTCACACAGTTCTAACAAGCTAGGTCATCTGTTTCCAATCACAGAATCCCCAAACGGATGCTGGTTGGAGACTATTTCCTTGACAGCAAGAGAAGTGACAGAAAACCTTGAGAAGAAAATATCTCATAATTTGAAAGCATAGAAGTCAGACCATTTAGCCTAAGGAAAAACTTTGCTTCATACTTTAAACAACTCCCAAGTGGTTTCCTGTATTAAAGTATATTAAGCCGATGGACAATGGCTACATGTTTGTTCAGTAACAGAAAAATCTGGTTAGGGAAGCAGGGAAACATAAACTTTTAAAAAATACAAAACACTCAAAGAGATTTCATTGATATGAAATGTCAAACTGAGGTTTCTAGTGATAAAGTATTCCTTTGTTTATAATACAGCTGCATAACTACCAAATGTCTATGTATAATAACCAAGTTAGCAGATTTTATTGAATGAATTGATAAGTAATTGAAGAAATTTATGGCAGGAATTGGGCCTCCTTTCACAAAGTTGTATGATGGAAAAGACTCAAGTTGTCCAGTCCCACTTATCTCTGAATGTAGGAATCTTCTCCAAAATCTGTGTAAAGTGATCATTCCAGCCTGGGCTTGAAAACATTCAGGGTTAGTGTGGAATGGTGGCTCACTTTCCATAACTGAGTGGTTTCCATTACCAGACAGCTAGTCAGAAAGACTTTCCTATACTTAGCTGACGTCTGCTGCTCTGTAAATGTTTTATTTCTTCTTCTGGTACCAACATAAAATAATTTTACTTCCACTTCTTTTTCCAGATGCCAACCGTTTAAAAAACATCTGAACACAGTTGTTACCACTTCCATGGCCTTTTCTTAAACCAAGCCTGTCATTTCCCTTATTTTTCATATAACATAGTTTTTAGAAGCCTCAACGTCTCATTTATCCCCCTCTGAATAGCCTCAAATTTATTATGTTTATTTATTTTATTTTATTTTTTTGAGTTGGAGTCTCACTCTGTTGCCCAGGCTGGAGTGCAGTGGCACGCTCACAGCCACTGCAGCCTCGACCTGCTGGGCTCAGGAGAGCCTTCCACCTCAGCCTTCCAAGTAGCTGGAACTACAGGCACATACCACCACACCTGGCTAATTTTTTGATTTATTGTAGAGATGAGGGCTCACCAAGTTGCCCAGGCTGGTCTCAAACCTGTGACCTCAGGCAATCCTCTCACCTCAGCCACCCAAAGTGCTGGAATTATAGGCATGAGCCACCATGCCCAGCTTTTTATTGGTTTCTTAAGGTGTAACATCCATAACTGTACACAGGTACGTAATGTGTTCTAATTAAAGTAGCACAGTCACCCTATTGCCTCTCCGTAATTACACACAGCACCTATTCAGCTAATGCAATCTAACATTTCCAACAACCACCTCACAATCTTAGCTCCCATGGAAAAGGTATCATCTTGCTGTCTTTTAAAAACAAGGAGAAATTCAGCATTCAAAGCAAATGGAACATCATCTACAAAGTCTAAGGGACTCAAGACAACATCAAGTTCTACAAATTGCAAAAGTCTGTGATGTTTCATTTCTGTATTTCCTCTCTCAATATACCATTGTTGCAAATATTTGGGTGATTTTTTTTCCCCTGAAGCTTTGAAACACAATTGGACTTTTAGTTCATGAAATTGCATGCATGAAAATTAGTACAACAAGATTGAGACATGTAACCAATTTAGATTAGGATTCACGGGGATTCTGAAGATACTCCACCTATTTGGAAGATAGCGTCTTTTGAATCTTTTGGGCTGTGCCAGCCTCTGGATCCTTCTGGAAGGCTGGCTAACCAATGCCGGAGGAGAGATAGCCCAGATTACAGATTCTCTTCCACAGCTGTAGTAATATTGAGCCCTGCAAATTGTAGAAGAGAAAAAGAGTGAGTAAAACATACACGAATCCAAAGTATCAGAGTATTTTCCAACATTGATTCTCAGGCCTGGAGAAGCAGGTATGACCGTTGACCTCCTTATTGCTGACCTATTTCCCACAGGGGGAGAAGTGAATTGCTTTAGAAATGATGATAGCTATCAAGTTTTCAGCTGGCTTCCATTATCTTACTCCAAACAGATAATTTGCTGAAATAAATAAAAGGTTATCAGGCTTGGCGTGGTGGCTCACACCTATAATCCCAGCACCTTGAGGCAGGAGATCACTTGAGGCCAGGAGTTTGTAAACAGTCAGGGCAACATAGTGAGACAGCATCTCTACAAAAATATTTAAAAATTAGCCAATCATGGTGGCACACACCTGTAATCACAGCTACTCAGGAGGCTGAGGCAGGAAGATTGCTTGAGCCCAGGAGTTAAGGTTATGGTGAGCTATAGTCACACAACTATAATAAGCCTGAGTGACAGAGTCCGACTCTATCTCTAAAAAGATTAGTAAATAAGTTAATTAAATAAATAAATAGTATCTGCTAAATAGACCAAAAAAATACTGATGAAAAGAGAACATTTGCTGCTTTTAAAATCAAATACTTCCTTTAGCATCTATATAAATAATTTAAATTTTACAACATTTTTAGTTTACAGCATGAATTATATTGGCACTTTTCTTTGTGTTAAAGAACTCTGAGTTCAGAAATAAATTCTACTTGATCATGTGCGTAGCTTATTTAATCATTATTGGGGTTTGTTAACTGAGATTTTGTTGAGGATAAGTAATAATATTGTTCTTCTTATCACTCCTGCCTGTCGATATTTCCTTATCAAAATATATTATATCATAGTGGAAAAGAAAGTGACATTGGCTACTTCAGACCGTGTTCACTCAGATTTCCATCCCACTTTTTCTTTTATTAATTTTCTTTTTTCTTTTTTTGAGTCAGAATCTCACTCTGTCGCCCAGGCTGGAGTGCAGTGCCACGCTCACCATCACTGCAGCCTTGACCTGCTGGACTCAGGCGATCCTTCTACCTCAGCCTTCCAAGTAGGTAGAACTACATGCACGTGCCACCACACCTGGCTAATTTTTTGATTTATTGTAGAGAGGAGGTCTCACCAAGTTGCCCAGGCTGGTCTCAAACCAATGGGCTCAGGCAATTCTCTCACCTTGGCCTGCCAAAGTGTTGGAATTACAGGCGTGAGCCATTGCACCTGGCTATTGCTTCTATATTTTTCAAAGGACCTCTGTTCCTTTATGATAGGGACCTTCATCCCTCTGCCCAAGCCTCTACCGACTAAATAGTTGTGGTAAGTACTAGGAAGGCATTGGCTATGTAGCAGACAGAGGCTTCCTAGGTAGGCGTGTGAGGAGGTAGAAAGTTACATCGAAGACAATAGTTAGGGAAGGGCTCTCAGCAAAGCTGACACCTAAGTTGAGACTTTAAGGACCAGAAGATCTTAGTCATTCAAAAATTAAGGAAAACATTCTAGGCAGAGAAGGAAATATGAAAAAAGTCTTAAGATGAGAAATATTTTGGTATGGTCAAGAAATAAACAACTTAAAAATAAAAATAGCTGGGTACAGTGGCTCACGCCTGTAATCCCAGCACCATGGGAAGCTGAAGGTGAGAGGATTGCCTGAGTTCATGGGATCAAGACCAGCCTGGGCAACTTGGCAAGACTTCATCTCTACAATAAATCCCCAAATTAGCCGGGCATGGTGGTGTGTGCCTATAGTTCTGGCTACTTGGAAGGCTGAGGTGGAGGGATCGTCTGAACCCAGCAGGTTGAGGCTGTGGTGGCCATGAACGTGCCACTGCACTCCAGCCTGGGTGACAGAGTGAGACTCCAACTCAAATAAGTAAATAAATAAATAAATAATCACACATTATATGTACAGTTTTGCACTCAAAAAAAATTTTTTTTTTCTTTCGAGTCATAGTCTTTGCTGCCCAGACAGAAGTATTGTAGCATAATATGGCTACCACAGCCTTTACCTGCTGGGTTCAGGCTATCCTTCCACCTCAGCTTTTCAAGTATCCAGAAGTACAGGCATGTGTCATCACGTCCAGCTAATTTTTTGTATAGACAAGGTCTCACTGAGTTGCCCAGGCTGGTCTCGAACCCCTGGGCTCAGGCAATCCTCTCGCCTTCACTTTCCAAAGTACCGGGATTACAGGTGTGAGTCACTGTGCCTGGCCTTGTGTTCAATTTTTTCACTTAGTATTACAGCATAAGCCTTTCTTTGTCTCATGAAATATAAATAATAATCTTTTAAAATTAAATGACTTAGGTGAATTAAAACACTTAGAAGAGAGGTTCGCTTCCAGACATGATGGAATAATAAGGATTAGATTTATCTCTAGACTAAACACATTTCTGGTACCATTTTTTTAAAAAACTTAAAAGCAATTCTCAAAAATGGGCAAAAGATTTGTATGTACATTTTTCCAAAGAAAACATTCAAATGTCAATAAGTACTCAGCACTCAAAGTCATTAAGGATAAGCAAATCAATACCACTTCACACACACTAGGATGCTACATCAAAAAGATAACAAGTGTTGGTAAAGATGTGGAAATATTGGAACCCTCATCCATTGCTGGTGGGATTATAAAATGATACAGTCACTTTGGAAAAGAGTCAGGCAGTTCCTCAACAAGTGAAACATAGAGTTACCATAGGAAAACAGCAAATAACTTGCCCTACATGTAAGAGAAATAAAAGCATATATCTACACAAAAGCTTGCACACAAATGATCATAGAAGCATTATTATTATTATTATTTTTGCCAAAAAGTAGAAACAACCCAATGTCTAACAACTGATAAGTGGATAAATGAAAGGTACCAGAGCCATACAATGAAATATTAGTTAGTTACAAAAAGAAATGAAATGCTACAATGTACATAAATCTTGAAAACACTGTGCTAAGTAAAAGAAGGCAATCACAAAGGAGAATGTATTGTATGGCTGTACTTACATGAAATGTCCAAAATAGGCAGATTTATAGAAACAGAAAGTAGATTTGTGGTTACTTAGGACTTATGCGAGAAGTTGAAGGGGAATAGGAATAGACAGTTACTAGGTTTCATGTTTCTTTTAGGGAAGACAAAATGTTCTAAAGTTAGATTTTGGCAGTGGGTACACACCCCTGTGAATTCACTAAAAAACACGGAATGAAGGCTGAGGTGAGAGGATTGCCTGAGACCGCGGGTTCGAGACCCGCCTGGGCAGCGAGACCTCATCTCTAAAATAAATAAAAAAATCAGCTGGGCGTGGTAGTGCATGCCTGTAATTCCGGCTACTTGGAAGGCTGAGGCGGAAGGATTGCCGGAGTCCAGCAGGTCAAGGCTGCAGTGGCCGGAAGCGGCCACTGCACTCCAGTCTGGGCGACCGAGTGAGACTCCAACTCAAAAAAAAAAAACAAAACACTGAATGAAACACTTTAAATGAGTGAATTACATGGTAAGTAGATGAATCTCAATAAAACTTTTTAAAGTAAGAAAGAAAAGAAAGCTTCAAAGGATCAAATTGTTTTAGAAATAATGTAACGATGTCCCAAAACAAAGCTCAAGAATATTTATAGCAACACAAAAACATTTGGGAACTAGTAAGGTAAAATGCATCATACCCAATAAAGAATCTCCAGGTATACAAAGAAGCAGTAAACTATGGCCCACAATGAGAAAAATCAATCATTAGAAACGTATCCAGAAATAACATAAATTTAGTAGGTAAGAACTTGAAAACAGCTATTGTAACTAAATTGCCTATATTCAAGAAGGTGAAGAAATGCTTGAGCATGTTAAGCAGAAACAAAATATAAAAATAACCAAATTGAACTTCTAGAGATGAAAACTACAGTGTAAGAAATGAAAAATACCCTGAGTGAAAATAATAATATACTTTTTACTGCAGAAGAAAACATTAGTGAAGACAGACAAATACAACACAGAGGTGGGGGGAAATAGATTCAATGAGATGTGGGGCAACTTCAAGCAGGCTAATATATGTATAATTAGTATCCACAAAAAAGATGGCAAAGCAGGACAAATATGTGAGGAAATAATGACTGAAAAACTTCTAAATTAGATGACATTCATAAACTTAAATATCTAAGTTCAATGAACCCCAAACAAAAGAAATGAAGAAATATCAAGGCACCTCATAATTAAATTTTTAAAAAGCAGAGACAAAGAGAAAATCATTGAAGTAGCCAGAGATACAAGACACATTATTTGCAAAGAAACAAAGTATAACAACTAGTGTCTCATCAAAAGCAATGGCGATATGACATTCTATGCACACTGAAAATATAGTTCAAAAGGAAAGTGAAATTAAAAAGTTTTCAGATATGCAAAAGCTGAAAGAATTCAGCAGCAGCAACCCTGGACTAAAAGAAGTATTAAAGAAAGTCCTCCAGGAAGAAAAATAAAATAAGATGACATCTGGAGTTACACAAAGAAATGTAGAATATGGAAAATGGAAGGAATGTGCATAAACTTAAAGTTTTTTTCTTATTTTAAAAAATTTCTTTAAAAGACTATTTAAAGTAAAAATAACAACAATGTATCGTAAGGTTCATAACATATGTAGAAGTAAAATGTATGATGGCGACAACACAAAGACCAAAATGAGGAAATGGAAATACACCATGATAAGGCTCTTATGCTAAACAAGAAGTGGTATAATATTACTTGAAGATACACTGATAAGTTAAAGATGTATATTATAAGTCCTATAGTAATCACTAAAAATAAAAAGAGTGAATAAACTAACAAAGAAGACAAAATGGAACCCTAAAAATATCAATTAATGTAAAAGGAAAAAAAGAGGAAAAAAGGAACCAAAAAAGGTGTAATAAACAGAACACAAACAGGAAGACAGTAGTTTTAAACCAAAACATATCAGTACTTACATTAAATGTAAGTGATCTAAACACCACAATTAAAAAACAGATCACCA